TTACCTTTGCACACGAAGCTATTTTAACCGTAAACCTAAAATCATTTTTCTGACTTACAGTATTTCCGTTTTACATGACAAAGCGCATTTTATGCACATGAAATTGAATCTTGCGGCGACTCGTGCAACAGTTACACCTTTAACAATGTCTTAAATGTAAACTTTGTTAATATGAAAATTATCTTGGAATATAATATAACAATTTTAGTGGCGCCTCAGAGTCACCGCTCGAGTGCAAAGGGTTAAATCGGTCATTAAGAGTTGAAGACATTAATCCGGGAGATGATTTTTCAGATGGAACAGTTTTCAGATAATCGAATCGGAGACCGCGCCAATATGCGAAGGAAAAAGTTGCTCGAGAGAGAGAGAAATGTTGAAAATAACATATTCAAAAATAATGAAACTCGAAGATTTTTAGTGTCTTTTTAAAATTGTGCGACAACGATATATATGATTGTTTTAGAAGTTTTACGTCTGGATATTAATCTTGATGTTTCTTTAAAGGATGTCGCTGAAACGGTTTGCGAGAACTACCCCTAAAGAGTCCATTATTCTTTTCAAATACTGAGAAAATGATCGAAAATGAAGCAAGTGTGCAGCTTCCCGAAGAGATCCCTGAAAGATCAAAATAATTAGACAATGAAACTACAATGTTACACTTTATTATAGGGGATGCTATTCGAACCCCTTTGCATCGAAAACACCCTGGCACGATTGAATATGGTCGAATGTAGAGCGATAAATATAAATCTTGGAAACTGGTCGAAAATTATTCTCATTCGATATTTTACAAAAAATTGCATTGGAAACAGAGAACATTGTTTAGCAGAACGAAGAGCTAAGAATGCCGCGGAGATCAATTTCTCATGCTAATTCTGCTAGACCAGTGGTGTCAAACTCGCGGCCCGAGATAAACGTTTTTGATGTCAAGTATCAGGACGTAAACAATAATTTCACTTTATATATGTTTATTACAATGTACTGGTCAAAATAAAAATATTTGTTTCTATATGAACATTGATTTCTCTTTTTCTTTTTGCGGCCCACCTAAAGTTAAGCATTGTTTATTTGGCCCAAGTTAGCTTTTGAGTTTGACACCCCTGTGCTAGACCGTTTAAACAATGCATGTCGCAGGTCTCCGATGATTCCGATGCACGCTGAATATTTCGATCGAAATCGGTTAACAACGTTAACGTAAACCGACAGTTTAAGATGATGGCGGTCTCGTAAATTTCAGAAATACTATTCTGTGTTACAGCACCTGCCAGAACCACTTGCGCGTCTCCGAATTCCACGGTCTCGGTACAGAGAACAGTTACGGCCCACTCTGCGTTAATTAAACGGTCGTAAAATTGTGAACGACACAGAGACAGCCAGAGGGTAGAAAGTAGAGATAAAGCGACGCGGTATGATCATAGCGGCGCAAGACGTAGGTTGTTCCCCCGCGAAATGGTTTCCGTGTCCGACGACGGATTACATCGCGGCACGTAATAATTAAAAGTCGGGGCTGAGAGCTGGTATACCGTGGAATTGATTAATTGCTCGCACGATAGGATGCGACAGGGTCACCACTTGCATCCGGCCAACCGTGAATATAGTAGCAGCGGTCTGACCCGCTCGATAATTCAACGCCGTTTCGATCGGTTCCGACCGACCAACGTATACTACTGTGATCAAAAAGTAAGGTGAATTTGTTTATAAAATGTAAATTCTTTATTTATTCTTCCAAATCAATTTCATCCCCTTCAAAGTAATCCCCGTCCGATAAAACGCACTGTTTCCGACGCTTTTTCCAGTCCTCGAAACAGTCGGAATAGTCTTTTTCCGGTATAGCCTTCAAGACCTTCTTCGATTCGGTTTTTATCTCCTCAATCGTGTCAAAACGGCGTCCCCGCATTGGCTTTTTGAGTTTGCTGAATAACCAGAAGTCGCACGGAGCCAAATCAGGCGAATACGGTGGCTGCGGAACGATATGAGTCGAGTTTTTGGCAAAAAAGTCGCGAAGAACCAATGCAGTATGACATGGCACCAATCGAGACTTGACGCGTTTGAGACACAAAACATCCTTCAAAATGATTTGGGCTGAACCAAATGATATTCCAACACTATCAGCGAGGTCTCTTATTGTCAATCGACGATTTTCAAGCACCAAATCTTCGATTTTTTGGACGTGGCCCTCGTCGGTAGACGTTGATGGTCGTCCAGAGCGCGGTTCGTCTTCAACGCGTTCTCGGCCCGCTTTGAACTCGTTGTACCATTTATAAACGTTTTTTTGTGCCATAGTTTGATCACCAAAGGCCTTCCGCAACATTTTCAACGTGTCCGCACAAGAATATTCGTTCCGCAAACAAAATTTGATGCAAGTTCTTTGCTCAACAAAATCACCCATTGTAAAAATCGAAAAATTCACTTTTGGTCGTTTACTAAAACACGTGTAACTCGGAGATAATTAAACCTTTTAACAAACAGACGCTTGGCAATTGTTATAGACAGTCCTACCAACCTAGGAAAAAAACAATTGCCTGCCTTCCTAATGTCCGGGAGTTTTAAATGACAATTTCACCTTACTTTTTGATCACAGTAGTAAATCCACGGAACTTGGACGCAACGTAAGAATCCATTTGGAACATTTGGAACCTCGTTTCCCCTGAATTTGTTTGTTAACACTAAACCTACCAAGCGGTAATACTAACTGGCATGTACTGCTTCGTAAAAGTGAGAAGACCGAATTTATTTAGAATTTGTAAAGTTTTCATTATAAAACTTGCTCCGATCATTTATTCAAGCGTTTTCCACGAAAGAATTTTCACTTTGACCGCGGTAGGTTTAGTGTTAAATTAGTTGACAAAAATGTGCAGATTTAACCTGATAGACACTTAGCAAGAACAGTGACGAATGACTATACTGCACTGAATTTTCTTGCAACAGAGACGCGATCCTACAAATAAGTAACGAAGTCGTTTTACATAAAGCTGAACTGGTGCTTGGAACTAAATCGACGGAAACTAACAATCAAACACTCGATTTTCAGAGACTCAAAGGACTCCTACGTACGGGTCGTCGGAAACCAGCGTGAAAAAAGGAGTTCCGACATTTACAGAAGGTTCACAAGCCACTGTCGCAAGATAAAAATTCAGAAGCCCGCGATTCCCTCTAGGTAAGTTTTGAATTTTAAATATTCGTAAAAGGAGAGAAAGAGAGAGAGAGAGAGAGAGAGAGAGAGAGAGAGAAAGAGAATGGTGACTAGGGAATATCTACAACAGGGAGTTCTGTTCTCCGGAATTACCGGAATTCAAAATGAAAGTTAAATTATTTGGTCGAGTTAATTTCAGCACGCGCATATGTGGTCCGAATTTACATGCATTGACTGACATTAATATACGGACAGTCTAAAGGGAATAACTTGTTTAACAATCGAGCAAACTACTTGAATTCGTTTTTGAGAAGTTTTCGAGGATTAATTTGTTAGAATTCTTGTATAAGAAATTTCGACAAAATTGCAATTGTCTGGTACAATTATTTTCTATGGGCGATTAATAATATATTATAATAATATTATAATATATATAATATTATACTATATATTATAATAATATTATAGTATATATTATAATAATATTATAATATATATAATATTATACTATATATTATAATAATATTATAGTATATATTATAATAATATTATAATATATATAATATTATAGTATATATTATCTGTCTCTTATACACATCTAGATGTGTATAAGAGACAGGTATAATATAATAATTAATATAAATAATAATAATAATAAAAAATATAATATATATAAATATATATAATCTGGCTCTTATACACATCTAGATGTGTATAAGAGACAGGTATAATATAATAATTAATATAAATAATAATAATAATAAAAAATATAATATATATAAATATATATAATCTGGCTCTTATACACATCTAGATGTGTATAAGAGACAGGTATAATATAATAATTAATATAAATAATAATAATAATAAAAAATATAATATATATAAATATATATAATCTGGCTCTTATACACATCTAGATGTGTATAAGAGACAGGTATAATATAATAATTAATATAAATAATAATAATAATAAAAAATATAATATATATAAATATATATAATCTGGCTCTTATACACATCTAGATGTGTATAAGAGACAGGTATAATATAATAATTAATATAAATAATAATAATAATAAAAAATATAATATATATAAATATATATAATCTGGCTCTTATACACATCTAGATGTGTATAAGAGACAGGTATAATATAATAATTAATATAAATAATAATAATAATAAAAAATATAATATATATAAATATATATAATCTGGCTCTTATACACATCTAGATGTGTATAAGAGACAGGTATAATATAATAATTAATATAAATAATAATAATAATAAAAAATATAATATATATAAATATATATAATCTGGCTCTTATACACATCTAGATGTGTATAAGAGACAGGTATAATATAATAATTAATATAAATAATAATAATAATAAAAAATATAATATATATAAATATATATAATCTGGCTCTTATACACATCTAGATGTGTATAAGAGACAGGTATAATATAATAATTAATATAAATAATAATAATAATAAAAAATATAATATATATAAATATATATAATCTGGCTCTTATACACATCTAGATGTGTATAAGAGACAGGTATAATATAATAATTAATATAAATAATAATAATAATAAAAAATATAATATATATAAATATATATAATCTGGCTCTTATACACATCTAGATGTGTATAAGAGACAGGTATAATATAATAATTAATATAAATAATAATAATAATAAAAAATATAATATATATAAATATATATAATCTGGCTCTTATACACATCTAGATGTGTATAAGAGACAGGTATAATATAATAATTAATATAAATAATAATAATAATAAAAAATATAATATATATAAATATATATAATCTGGCTCTTATACACATCTAGATGTGTATAAGAGACAGGTATAATATAATAATTAATATAAATAATAATAATAATAAAAAATATAATATATATAAATATATATAATCTGGCTCTTATACACATCTAGATGTGTATAAGAGACAGGTATAATATAATAATTAATATAAATAATAATAATAATAAAAAATATAATATATATAAATATATATAATCTGGCTCTTATACACATCTAGATGTGTATAAGAGACAGGTATAATATAATAATTAATATAAATAATAATAATAATAAAAAATATAATATATATAAATATATATAATCTGGCTCTTATACACATCTAGATGTGTATAAGAGACAGGTATAATATAATAATTAATATAAATAATAATAATAATAAAAAATATAATATATATAAATATATATAATCTGGCTCTTATACACATCTAGATGTGTATAAGAGACAGGTATAATATAATAATTAATATAAATAATAATAATAATAAAAAATATAATATATATAAATATATATAATCTGGCTCTTATACACATCTAGATGTGTATAAGAGACAGGTATAATATAATAATTAATATAAATAATAATAATAATAAAAAATATAATATATATAAATATATATAATCTGGCTCTTATACACATCTAGATGTGTATAAGAGACAGATAATATATATAATATTATAGTATATATTATAATAATATTATAATATATATAATATTATACTATATATTATAATAATATTATAATATATATAATATTATAGTATATATTATAATAATTATAATCGATATTTTTTTAAATGGGATTTGCGAGATTTATTTAATCGCCATCTTTACGCATTTAATTGAAATAATTCTTTTCAATGAAACAGTTCGAGTAAGGACGATTTAGAAGACTGAAGGATATACAAAGAAAAATAATAGATATCTAATCTTATCAAAGTGTTTTCTATTAAATGATTCATTTCATAAGCATGGTTTATTTAACCAACATAGGAAACTATTTAAGAACGATCTACTCAAATTTGTTATTTATGTTATTCACACGTATAATTAAATCGCAGATTTCATGCATTTACGATTTTGTTTCATGCATTTAAGTTTGAATAAATTAAATGCGATACAGCAAAATCATTTATGGAATTTAAAGCTACGATTCTAAAAATTAATTGCTACGTGGCTGCTGCATTTTACAGTTGATACAGATAATTCTTATTTTGCATGAAAAACCGCACAGTAGTAAATTAGTTGAAATCTTTTTAGTTAGTTTCAACTAAAATATACGAATCTCTTTATGAAGAAACGCAAAATAAAAAGTTGCTGCATGAATCGCGAGAAACGAAAAAAATCTCTCTTTAATCATTTTAATAATTTTTATAACATTTTAATAATTTGTATAACGTTATAATAATTTGTATAACGTTATAATAATTTTTATAACGTTATAATAATTTTTATAACATTTGTATAACTTTAATAAAATTAAAAATCTTAATAACGCGAAGAGTAATTTCAATCTTCTCAATCCTTCCATCAGTTTAAATTGCACCCAGTCGTTCTCGACGCAATAAAATGTATAAAAATCACAATCGTTTACCGAGAATCGCTGCACTTCGGTGATTCGCGATGAATGAATGTGTACGGGAAATTCGTTCTGCAGGAATATTGCAATGAGTATTTATACTGCCGACAAACATCTGCCCCGGACAACGTTTCCGTGGGTCGCGGGCCCTGAGGCGCGGAAACATTACAACGCAGAGCCTGGCTGCGACACGTACACCGGTGCACTCGGTGCGCCGCGGCTCTGGTCCCGATGCGAAGCACAGTCGCAACGCTCGCGAAAGTATTCAGACGCTAAATTGCCAATTTCCAAAACACTTTCGATATTTATATTCTTTCCACGCCGTGTCAAAGAACTGTGCAACACAATCAAAGCCTGAAAATAACTACAAGTTGATGTCCCTGCAAAAACGTCTCTGCAAAAAATCTACCATTCATTCGAAGATCGAAGCATCCCCTTTAAAACGACACCACGAAATTCTTCATCTACAATTTTCTCCTGCTGATTTATAAAATAAAAATAATGAACAAGTTCCATCGAATTTATCGAAAGTTCAATTTCGGCACACCTCTCGTTCGAAGCTTGGTAAAACGACTAAAACAAAAATTGTAGATCAAGTTTCGTGGTATCGTCGTAAAGGGGAAGCTTCGATCTTGTAAACAGAGTTGGCTAAATTTTATTCGGATGACGGATAAGAGACGAAGGCTTTGCTTAGAAACTGTGGCGGATTCGGTGGTGAAAAAGACGAATACGTCCACAAATTCTCTTCTTCGCCGTATTATGCAAGAAAGCCTCAGAACATAATGGACGATGGATAACGACAGCGGGGGCTCCGTACTTCGAAACGAGTTTATTATTATGGGATTCGTTTTAGCGAAACTATAAATTATGAAAATTTCACTAAAGTTCGAGACTTGGTGTTCCTGAGAGACCTGGGGATATCCAATTCGAAGAAATTTAGAGACGCACGACGTCTACCTCGACGTCGACGTCTCCTGCTACTCGCGGCAAGTTAGACACTGGCAATTCAATGCTGATATACTCGCTGGGAAACTTCGCAGGTGAAATCCACGGAGAATTGCTCGAAATGAACACGGTCTCTCTCTCTCTCTCTCTCGCTCTTTTCTGCTCTGACATCGGGGCACCGGTTGAAAGGAACTCATTGGCAACTGACTGCTGACTGTCCGACGAAATGGACTGACAGGGATCCCATTGGATTAACATGCATTCAGAATTCTATGAAACTGCGCAGGCTTACGGAATAATCGCTGCATGCAAAAATGCACGATGCATGTTGAAACAGATCACCTTTATGCAAAATAAAGATATGCCACATTGATTGCGAGATATTGATGTTGTATAAAGAGCTGTTTCTTTTCTCGATGAAAATTCTTTGGATGTTTATACCAGTTCGTTTTTTTGTGACTCTAGTTACGAGTGAATAAGTGAAATATGTCGGTTCGATCGGTTACAGTGAAAATCAAATAAAAGTGAATTTGTAATAATTAAATTGCATGTACTGAATCGTACAACATCGCGAACAAGTTTCGAATGTCTGTGGGTGAATATAATATAGGTCGTTTGGTTCCGCTGTACTAA